TTGTTTTTTTTTTTTGTTTTTTGTTTTTTTTTTGAGTCACGGTCTCACTTTTCACCCAGACGAGTACAGTGGCAGGATCACAGCTCACTGCAGCCTCGAACTCCAGGGCTCAAGTAATCCTTCCCCCTCAACCTCTTGAGTAGCTGGGGCTACAGGTGTGCTCCACAATATCCAGTTAATTTTTCTTTTTCCTTTTTTTTTAGAGATGAGATCTTGCTATGTTGCCCAGGCTAGTTCCACACTCCTGGACTCAAGTGATCCTACTGCCTTGGCCTCCCAAAGCACTGGGATTATAGGTGGGAGCCACTGCCTATGACCAAATATTTTAGATATTTTTAAAAAGTGTTATTTACAATTAGATACATTATTTACTTCTCAATATAATTTGCTACCTAATATATAGTTTATTTAAAACATGGAAAAATTTAAAATCTATTAATCTTGAGCTCTACTCCTGATTTTTTTTTTTTTTTTTTTGAGTCAGTCTCACTCTGTCATCCAGACTGGTGTGAAGTGACACGCTCATGGCCAATGCAGCCTCGATCTGCTGGGCTCGGGAGATCCTTCCGCCTCAGTCTTCCAAGTAGCTGGAACTACAGGCAAGAGGCAGCTAATTTTTAAAATTTATTATAGAGATGAGGTCTTGCCAAGTTGTCCAGGCTGGTCTCATACCCGTGGGCTCAGTAATCCTCTTACCCCCAGCCTCCCAAAGTGCTAGGATTATAGGCATGAGCCACTGTGCCCAGACTGATTTTGTTATTAAGGCAAAATTAGTTATGCATCTCACTGAAACTGCGTAACTTATGAGCAAGCCCTTTTTGTTCCCTTGCTGTTCTTTTGTTTGCTTGTTTTGTTTTTTCCTTTTTGAGTTGGAGGCTCACTCTGCTGCCCAGGCTGGAGTGCAGTGGCATGCTCATGGCCAGTCACCACAGCCTCGACCTGCTGGGCTCAGGTGATCCTTCTACCTCAGCCTTCCAAGTAGCTGGAACCACAGGCATGCGCCACCACACCCAGCTAATTCTTTGATTTATTGTAGAGATGAGGTCTCACCAAGTTGCTCGGGCTGGTCTCAAACCTGTGGACTCAAGCCATCCTCTTACCTCAGCCTCCCAAAGTGCTGGGATTATAGGTGTGAGCCACTGCACCTGGCTTCCTTTTGCTGTTCTTAATACTAAGGCCAAGTTTTTAGTGTAGGTTGTAAAAATAAATCAGCTAAATTTGTTTTTATGTCAAAATCATTACTCGTTGAAACAAAATATTTAGTGAAGACTAAACAGTTTTTTTACAGGCCAAGAAAACTGCAAGTATTGCCCAAGTTATCCAGGTAAATGTATTTATATGTGCACTACACACATATATAGATATCAGTTCATCCGACTCACGCTCCAATTTAAGACATTACCAGAGGATTATAGCTATTTAATGCAAAATTCTAAGGCGGCACAAGAAAGAAAAGTCATAAGCTCTCTAATATTTTCCTTTGCCATGTTTAGCAAAGTGGAAAGAAAGATAGTGTTAACACATGATGATAAGCCAGGCCTGGTGGCTCTCGCCTGTAATCCCAGTGCTTTGGAAGGTGCCTGAGCAACATGGTGAGACCTCATCTCTACAACAATCAAAAAATTAGCAGGGCGTGGTGGTGTGCACTTGTAATTCCAGTTACTTGGAAGGCTGAGGTAGAAGGTTCGCCTGAGTCTAGCGGGTCGAGGCTGCGGGGGCCATGAGTGTGCCACTGTACTCCAGCCTGGGTGACAGAGTGAGACTGCAACTCAAAAAACAAGACAAAACAAAAATGTGATGATAAGAGTATCTCATATGTATTAAGGCTGGATTAGGTTGCAGTGACAAGACTATAGAAAGGGGGTATGAAATAATCCGAGTCCCATTTGGTTATTTTGTTGTTTAAAGGCATTTTTTGGGCTAAAAATGGCTGAGAGACACTAGCCACCTTTGTAGTGTAGTCTTGTCATCTGGTCCTGATCAGATTTGTGTCTGCAACACCCTAACCTCAGAGCTCCCCCCTGCAGGAGCCGGGGCATGCCTATTCTCCTCACCTCTCCCCCAGTTTGAGCTTAAATCCCAGAAAAGAGGATCAGAACGCCAAGCTCCAAGAACAAACACTTCGCTGCCTCCTTTGTTTTGGAGAAAAGGAAAAGGGTGTGAAGTTTCGGCCATTTTTGTCTGAGGAAATCAGATCAAAAGGGACATATGGAGGGTCAGATCCCTGATGCCCGCAGTTAATCTTGTCTCCTCCCAAGTGACCCAGGGTCTTGGCACAGCTTGTTGGAGTCAACCACTGAGGCCTTCAGCTTCCCAAGAAATCACAACGGTGTCGCCAGGTGGGGATGGTTCCTGGGAAGACTTCCCAAAGGCGTACCAGGCAAGAGGACAGAAAGCCTCCCTTCCCTCACCAGAAAGAGCCATCTTGCAAAGCAGAGCATTTGGTCCCTGTTGACTCACCCGATGTGGCAATCAATAGGTGACCAGAGTGCCTGCACTGCCTTCACATTTAAAGGCACAGTTACTCCGAGGTGCAAGGAAATTGCTGCTTCCTAACTGTGATAAACCATAGAGCCAGGTGCAGGTGCTCATGCCTGTAATCCCAGCCCTTTGGGAGGTCGAAGTGAGAGAACTGCCTGAGTCCAGGAGTTCAAGACCAACCTGAGCAATTTGGCAAGACTTGGTCTCTACAATAAACCAAAAAATTAGCCGGGCGTGGTGGCAAGCACCTGTGGTTCCAGCTACTTGGAAGACTGAGGCAGAAGGATCGCCGGAGTCCAGAGGGTCAAAAAGGTGGTGGCTGTGAGCGTGCTACTGCACTCTGGCCTGGGTGACAGAATGGGACTCTGACTCCAACAAACAAAGCATAGAAATTAGTTTCTTATGGAAAAAGATCCGTTTCAATGCTCCTCCAGCATCCAGCACTGATCCTCGAGTTGCCTCTCAACTTCCTCTTAGTATATCTCAGCCAGATGACACACCCAGTTCTTAGGGTGAGAACATTAACAACATGCTCTTAGGAAGATGGTGATAACTAACCATTGCATAAAGGGGCCATTTGAATGGGCTTTGAGTCTGCTTTAGAGATTTAGGCATGGATGTTTTTGTTTTTGTTTTTAAAAACGGGCGCGGGGGTGGGGGGAGTGGGGGAGTGGGAAAGGCACCATGGCTCATACCTGTAATCCCAGCATTTTTGTAGGCGGAGATAAGAGCATCGCCTGAGCCCTGGGATTGGAGACCAGCTCGGGTAACTTGGCGAGACCTTGTCTCTACAGTAAGTCAAGAAAAATTAGCCCGGCTGGCACACGCCTGCAGTTCCAGCTACTTGTAAGGCTGAGGCGGAAGGATCAAAGCCCAGCAGGTTGAGATTGCGAGAGCCCTGAGCGTGCCACTGCACTCCGGCCTGGGCGACAGAGTGAGACTCCAAGTCAAAAAAACAACGGAACAGTTGCTGATGACAGTGCAGGTAATGTGCGTGTATATGCACGTGTAATATACTATACCTCCACCCCCCAACACAGTTACAGATCCTTTCACCTGGCTTGCCAACTGCCAGCCACCTCTGCAGGGGCCGGGCTTCTGGGAATTCATTCAAGGACCCCTCCCCAGAGAAGGCCCCCTCCCTCCCCCGCGGCAGCGGGCACTGGATTCTCTCCTCACGTGGCCAGGCGGCCCACCCAGCCCCCCAGCCCAGTCCCAGGTCCTGCCACTGTCCCCGTCAGCTTCCCAAGCCCCCTTACTGCTGCCCACGTTCCTTCCTCTTCCTGGGCTCGGATTTCGGCGTTTCCCGGACGCGCTCTCGAGATCCACGTGGGACCCCAAACCCGCATCCCCTCTCCCGCCTCTCCGGGCCACATGCGCTGGCTCTGGGCCGGCCAGGTGCGGCCTGGGACGCACCGAGAGACCCTCCGCGATGGAGGGCCCGGCGCCAGCGCGGATGGAGGGGCAAGGCCGGGGCCATCCCGCCGACTCTCGGCCGCCGCCACCGGGCGG